CTTTCCAAGCACTAAGTAAAAAAAAAACCCACAGGGAATGATGAGGAGGTGCTCATCAGTGTGGAGATGATGAGACGTGAAGCCCTGAGTGCTCCACCCTCACGTCTCAGCACCGTCCTCCAAACTCCCTCGTCCTCCCGGCGTTCACACGTCCGCTCCGCACCGCGCCACGCCGCGTACGCTACACGTCACTTATGAGGCACAAACGAGATGGCAGCTTCAACGATTTTTGCTTAAATATGCTTGGAGGACTCCTTCAATAATTCATTGATAATGACCAGGATGAATAATTCACAGGCACAAACTTTGCTTTCGTAAGCAAGACGCCGCGGCACCTGACAGTGATGTACAACGCCAAATCACTTTTTATTAGTCGGGAAATTCTTCTTCTTTAAAAAAAAACAAAAAAAAACGCTGGGCTGAAAAAAAAAAAAAAGTTTTTGCGGTGATTCACAAACAAACAGCTGGCGTTTTTTCTTGTCTCTTGTCTCCGTGTGTGAGTTGGTCTGTAGACGTTGACCTGTCTTCACTCGGGGTCATCTGTTGGAGAACAGAAACCTGTTTGGACGTGAGGGCGGCGTCCGTCTGCTGCAGACTGTGTCCTTTTGTCCAACGCTGTTTGTGGGAATGATTTCACATCAACTCCAGCCATGAAATACCTCATCGTATTCAAAGCTGGACTAAACTCATTCTTCACAGCCTCAGCTCTCATTCATATAGTTTACAGCCCGAGGGCAGAGACAAAGAATCTGATCTGACCCAGAGCTGGATTCTTTTTCTAACCGTCCACAGGAGACGATGTTGGTCGTTCAGGTCAGAATTTTAGCTCCATTCACTCTGGTAAATGATGTCTGAATGCTGCAGACTGTGTTTGTGTTTGTGTTTGTGTTTGTGTTCTCCCAGACCCTCAGACGGCCCCCAGCGAGGTGGACGGGGTCAACCTGGAGGAGATCCGAGAATTCGCCAAAGCATTCAAGATCCGCCGCCTGTCCCTGGGCCTGACGCAGACTCAGGTGGGGCAGGCTCTGAGCGCCGCCGAGGGGCCGGCGTACAGTCAGTCTGCCATCTGCAGGTAAGATCGAAACAGAGAAGACGGAAAAAAAAAAAAAATGTTATTTTAATAATAATAATTTTTTTTAAAAAAATAATAAATTATTTAGACTAAAAATCAATAAATAAATCCATAGTGACATCGCATTCACATCACAGTTCTAAACTTGAAGATTTAAAAAAAAAAATGACAAAATCATTTGTCCGGGTGACGTGAGGGAAAAACAAACTACATCTGTGGAGCTTTTATTTTGACAACTTCCTCCCTCATTTTTTATTTCAACCGATTCAAATTGTCACGCATTAGGTGTCGATTTTTAACTGATTCACGACGCAACGTTACATCCAAACATCGGCTCCTCTAAGTAGGCAAATTGGTGGCCCGTGGGCCCAATCTGGCCCTCTAAACCATCCAATCCGGCCCAAGACTGGATTCCAAAATAAACCTCAAATAATAATCTCAATCTCCCTGCCCCCCGCCCCTTATATTTAAGTCAACCTTATCTGTGCTGCTTCATAAGGTAATTGTTCCTTAATAATGGTAAAATGATTGTAGTTAATAAGTCAGTCAGCAGATGGCGCTGTGTGGATTCTTCACGCCCGGTCTCACACAGACATCATTAAGATATTAAAACACATAATTGACTTTTACCACCC